ATCTTAAAATAGAGTCAAACTAATATGCACTATTTTCTTTTATATATTTATTTTTTTGTTACATATTTAAAATTTGCTTTTAATGCCACTTAAGTCTTGAATTTTTTTTTTTTCACTTTTGATGATGAGTTACACAAAAGTAAAAATAACCCTTATCCTTTTTTTTTTTTTAAATCACTCCCTATTTAACTTAAAATTTAAATCTAAAATCTTCAATTTGAATTGTAAAATTTTCTTAATATAGACAATTATATATATGGAATGGAATAATTGGTGAAAAGACTGAGGGGATGAGATGTTAAAAAACCATTACAATTGAATTTATATATAGAAAAGCCGAGGTGAATACCATTTATTCTATCTACATCTAAACCGTATGTAGCTCATCAGTTATCTCAAAAGGAAATGCAAATCCAATACAAAAGCATTTTTGCATTTTACACAAATGATAAATGATTTAGCTTGTTGGTGTAAAAGACTGACTATAAAGTAATAGAAATGAGAAAACCAATACAAGTATATAACAACAGTCAGAGACTCATCAGAGTAAGTGCAGGATGTGTTGTGTGGTCATCTTATTATCTAGGCGTGATGGTGGAAATCACTCCACTAACAAGGTCACTGCAAGAAACATCTGAGGATGTGTACGGATTCTTCACCACAGAGGATGACGAAGGTGGAGTAATAGATGCCTTTTCTAGGTTACCTTCCATGGATTCTGCTACCAAGGGGTCAGAGTACTCCGGCATCATTAGCTCTATAGTTTCTAGAGTTCGGACCACCTCTGCCATTGAAGGTCTTGAATCTGTCTCATCTTGGCAACATTTCATGGCCAAATTCACAAACTTCTCCATACATTTAGAAGGATATGAACCCATTCTTCCATCAATAATCGAGAATATTATACCAGATTGATATGCATTGTTAACCTGGTGTGTGTGTGTATGAGAAAGAGAGAGAATGAGTACATTTGTTCAAATGGTCTGAAAGTGATAAAAGACAATTAATTTCAAGAAAAAGAGAGGAAAGGAAAGCTATATATTACCTCTCAAACAAGGTTTTTGCCACGTGAAATTGGTTGCATCCCTGTCAAAAGCTCTAAAAACACAACACCAAGGTTATATACATCACTCTTGTCTGTCAATTTCTGTGTCAGGAAATACTCCGGATCAAGGTAACCGTACATTTTACATGCACAATATTCAAATGATAAGATACCATACCAGCAATATATATAGTGGTGAACCAATGCTGATTGTCATATATTAGTATATATAGTATTTGAATTTCATCTCTTCTACTACAGATATTAATATATATAGAGAAGATAGTGAATAGCATGTCGTCCTCCCAAAATTTTTTTTGGAAAACCTATCTAAAAACCCATCTTATAATTAATATTTTTAAAAATTATCCATTAGATTGAAAGTTCTATCCATACAAATCATACACATAAATTTTATTATTGATCTAATATTTACTAGCCTTTTGATCAAAGAACTTTATTTATTGACATATATTCAACTGAGTTAAATTCTATGTAATTAACGAAATACTTAGCCCTATTAAAACAATCTAAAAATTAACATATATAGTTTACATAAATAGAACCTTCAATTCAACTATTGATTTTTTAAAAATATTAATTAGAAGATAAGTTTTTTAAAAAATATGTCCTCCAAAAAAATTTTGGGAGGACGCCCTATAAAATACTTTTCTATATAATATATATATATATAGAAGCTTCTAATTTTATTACAAGAAAAAAGAAGTTTCTGATTTAATTTTATTCAAGTAAAACACTTACTGGAGTCCCCTTTACAATAGTAGACACATAAGCAGGTGCTGCACCTTCAATACTTGGCACTGGAGCAAGTCGTGAAAGTCCAAAGTCGGCAACCTTTGCGACCAATTTAGAATCCAATAATATATTGCTGGCCTTGATATCCCGATGAAATATAGGAGGATCAACTTCTGTGTGTAGGTAGAGGATTCCTTTGGATGAACCAAGAGCAATTCTTAACCTCCTTGCAAAACTCAAAGGTTCTTTAATCTTTCCTACATGCAGTACCATACAGATAAAATATTATACTACGGATCATGATATTTGCATATAGAATTAAAGGTTGTCATTTTGCATTTCTTGAACTCAAAGGTTTACCTAAAAGATGATCTTGCAGAGTGCCATTAGGCATATATTCATACACCAACATCTGTTGACAGTAACGGACAGATGTGATAATAAATTTCAATTAACAAATGACAATAGGCATGAAATTCTATCCAAATACTAAGTTGGTTAATCAAATTACTTTCTTAGTGATGGTTCATCTCTCCAATATTTAATTATAGTTAGGCTAATAAAACATTGAAATTACATCTTTTATCCCTCCATACATTTATTTCTCAAACCATTTATGGGTAGGAAAAAATATAATACCATATCAATCAAAATTTTTAAAAGACATGAGATAAAGTACCTGTTCACCTTCTTCATCACAATAACCAACCAAAGAGACAAGTTTTCTATGATGTAACCTTGACAACAACTGTATTTCAGTTAGGAACTCCTTTTCACCTTGTAATGACCCTTGTTGTGCACGCTTTATGGCGACAATCGTGCCATCAGCTAAAGTGCCTCTATAAACCTTTCCGTATCCACCTTGGCCAATTTGAGCGAAGATATCAAAATTGTTTGTTGCCAAAGCCAGTTCTCCATATGTGAAACTCTTGACACCATCAATTTTTAACAAGGCTCTAGATGCTATACAAGAAAACATGTCTCTAAATGTTTGAACAAAATTAATTGCTGTTAAAAGAATGTGCCATTTTTTTTTCCTAAAAAATATCTAAGAGATGAATAAGATATATTTGGATAAAAGGAAGTGTTTTGCGGTGACTCAAATCCAAAATGAATCTCAAGCAAGATGAATAACCGAATAGAGGCAAAAAAATCCTGACTTCTTCCTCAATATTTTAGTAACAACTAGCTAAATAAAATGCAATTCCATTCACTGTTCTGCAGGATAAATGAAGATGAAACTGGTAGAGAGTCCTTGTGATTAATGAACAAAAATCATGAGAGCATCAAGATTTATCTGTGTGGAATTTTTTAAAAAGAAAATTATTTTTGATAGACAATCAATCTAGAAAGTAGTACATAGACATATAATAATATATACAATCAACTTGCATATCCTATCACCAGAAATTTTAAGATACTCACACTGACGTCGTTTCGAAACTGCATGGTAGCCCCTCAGGTGCCTTCTGAATATAATAAGTGAAATGATTGCAGATAATGTAACTGCACCAGCAAAGGTCCCCAGGATAATGCCAGCCAATGCACCTTTACTTACGCCTGTCGATAAAGAGAGGCTGGATTCTGCAAAATTATATGATAATATAAAAATTTTTTATTAAAAAAATGAAAGTTATGGATAAATATTCTTTAGGGTAGGAGATGAAGTTGTGGAACAAACCATCCTTATAGACATCCGGCAAAGTGAAGTTTATAAGTTCGTAACATCCAAATATGCGACTAAGAGGGATTTTCACTCTAGTGAACATGCTCCTAATTCGTCAAACATCACTTGGATTGAATAAATGATTGTCCGTGGTGTTATCATAAATAGGATAGAGCTTTAAGTACGTTTCCAGTTGTGGTCCTTCTAGGCATGCAAATGAATAGATGTAGAGTTGATAAATAGACAAGCTGAGACTTTGAGTTAGGTACTCCTCAAACATATTTTTATATGGAATAAAATCTGAAAAGCCAGGACTTTTCAACCGAAATCCTATTAGCAGAGGCTCGGCACAAAAGCAATCTAAAGGAGATGTTAGGGAATACTCATAAGGGCATGATTGAGGTTTACACTCAGCGGTGGTGGAGTTTATTGCAGTGCTTATTCTAATTTCATTCTTAGTTTGAGATTTACAGAACTGAACAAAACTTCCACTCGAGCATATAGGATTCCCTTTAAGCCTGAAAGACAAGAAGATATTCAATTTCACTTTAGACTGTGAACCTTTCTTTTCTTTATATATATATATGTACAAAAAGAGTATAAAACCAACAGGCCTGTTGAAGGTGTAAGTGTACATTATATTATATTGTAGGTAAAGTAATAGGATATAAAAGCAAAGTAAAATTAAACACATTAGCAGTTACTTAATTAAAGTAAAATCAAAAGAAATGGCATGCAAGAGCAAACCAGAGAGTGACATTTGGAGGGAGGTCAGAACTTCCAGAAATATTGACAAGCAAATTGTTCTCCAAATCCCTGCACAGTTAATGTAAAGCGCCACAGGCATTGATTATTAGCAAAAACAGTCATTGAATATCACAAATGATTACACTATTGATCTTAAGGGAGAACAAATGCGGCTCCTAAATTTGGATCAACTGTTTCACTTGGCGAATCAAGTTTGTGACTGTGATGTAGGGTTCAAATTCTAAACAAAGAAAATCATTTTTTGAAGACTTACAGTGTAAGACTCTCTAGTGCATTTAGAGTCTTGGTCTGCCAAAGGGAGGATGAAATTGAGCCATTCAATGAATTATTTGCAAGTAGCCTACAAGGAGGAATAACCAACCCTTTAAACACATTTAATCAAGTTAAATATACTGGTAGTGCCATTAGCTACTAACTTAATTTCT